GAAACCTCTTACTTGCATTTACCCAGTCTATCCCTTTAAGTATTTTCTGAATTTCAACGAGATTACTTATCATTCTTTAAAACACTAGAAAGTGCAAGTGCAGTTTGCTCAATCTCTCTAGATCTCCTGCCATCCTAGGATAAGTATGCTGAATCTTTGCAATAATATGAGGAAAGATTGAGCAGCTTGAGTCTATATTTGCTAGAGTATAAAAGAATGAGAGGAGATCTAATGAGGTATACAAGATTCTAAAGGGAATTGACAAAAGCAGAGCAGATGTTTGTCCTTGTGGGGTAAACTAAAACAAGACATTTTTAATTAGTAATTGGTTGAAGGGTTATAGGAAGCCAGAAGGAAAATAGAATTGACGCCAAGATGAGATCAGCTGTGATAGTATTTAAATGGTGGAGCAGGCTGGAAGGGGCTGAATTATCCTTTCATGTTCCTAGCTCTTTTCTTTATAAGTTGACCAAAACTACACTGTATGCCAGGTACATTTTAACCAAGTTCCTACACAGTTGCAGCAAGAATTCACTGCTGCTGGACTCTCAATCTCTTGCATTAAAGGCTAACTTCCATTAGCTATCTTAATAGCTTATTGCACCTGCATATTAGCCTTTCAGTAACTTATTGACAAGGACACTTGGGTCTCTTTGTACATTTACATTTACACTTTCCAACCTCTCTCCATTTAAGAAAAAAATCTGGACATCTATTTCCTTAACCAAAGTAAATAACCTTACATTTTTCCACATTATATTCTATCAACTTGTTCTTGCCCATTCACTAAGCCTGTCCAAATCCTCCTGAAGCTACTTTACATCTTTTTTATCACAACGTTCATTGTCACTTGCTTTATCAGTCACAAATTTGGAAATGAATCACTTCATCCCATTTCCAAATCCTTGAAATTATTTATAAAGCAGAGGTTGATCCCTACCCCCTCCCCACCGAGAATTGAAACCAAAACACCGAAAGAGGAGCACCTCACCATGTAATCCGTAGAAGGAGTTTGGAAGTAGTGTAACCTGCTTTTCAGCAACTTCTAGTGGTTAAATAAAATAAATTTCTAACACGCACTCTACAATCAACAAGTAGCAATTTATTTATCTAACTCTAAATGAACGAATGAACTAAATATTAACAAACTGAATAAATCCCTTCTAACTACTAAGTATTCCTGAATAAAGCAAGATTCTAATGGTGTGTTGTTCCAATAAATACAAGACCCACTTGTGTGTGTATATATAAAAAAAATTTAGTCTCTCAAAATTACAGCCGGGTAACGTGTTCTGGAGTGTTCTGTGCTGTTTCTGTTGAGTCTTCTGTCAGGAATAATAACTAGTTGTGCTGTTGGTACCGTTATTATTTAGATGGTGCTTTCTCTAAGACCCAAAGGAATCTATGAGAGCCAGCGATTTCTCTCTTGAGAACTGAGGGCCATTAGCTCTGGTAGATGGCAGCTAGCTCTGGGATCTGTTTCCAACTGCCCCCTTCTTTTTATACCCTTGATGACATATCAATATTCCTTACAATAGGATTGATCCTATGTTGTCAGAGCCATCAGACGCCTGCCTCTTTGTAGGTTACGTGGAACAATCCCTCTTCCGTACCTACACCGGCCCTAAATCCCACCTCTTCCTCCGTTACATTGATGACTGTAGCGGCGCCGCCTCGTGCTCCCACGAGGAGCTCGAACAGTTCATCCACTTCACCAACACCTTCCACCCCAACCTTAAGTTTACCTGGACCATCTCTAATACCTCTCTCCCCTTCCTGGACCTCTCTGTCTCCATATCGGGCAACCACCTAGAAACCGATATTCATTTCAAGCCCACCGACTCCCACAGCGACCGAGAATAATCCTCCTCCCACCCACCTTCCTGCAAAAATGCTATCCCCTATTCCCAATTCCTTCACCTCCGCCGCATCTGCTCCCAGGATGAGGCATTCCACTCCCGTACATCTCAGTTGTCCTCGTTTTCAAGGACCGTAACTTCCCCCCCGTCAGTGGTCGAGAACGCCCTCAACCGTGTCTCCCACATCTCCCGCAACTCATCCCTGACACCCCGTCCACGCAATAAGAACCAAAAAAAATCCCCCTCGTCCTCACGTACCACCCCACCAACCTCCGGATCCAACGCATCATCCTCCGACACTTCCGCCATCTGCAATCCGACCCCACCACCAAAGACATCTTTCCCTCCCCACCTTTATCTGCTTTCCGGAGGGACCACTCTCTCCGTGACTCCCTTGTCCGCTTCACACTCCCCTCCAGCCCCACCACACCCGGCACTTTTCCCTGCAACCGCAGGAAGTGCTACGCCTGCCCCCATACCTCCTCCCTCACCCCCATCCCAGGCCCCAAGAAGACTTTCCACATCAAGTAGATGTTCACCTGCACATCTGCCAATGTGGTATACTGCATCCGCTGTACCCGGTGTGGCTCCCTCTACATCGGGGAAACCAAGTGGAGGCTCGGGGACCGCTTTGCAGAACACCTACGCTTGGTTCGCAATAAACAACTGCACCTCACAGTCGCGAACCATTTCAACTCCCCCTCCCATTCCTCAGACGACATGTCCATCCTGGGCCTCCTGCAGTGCCACAACGATGCCACCCGAAGGTTGGAGGAACAGCAACTCATATTCCGCTTGGGAACCCTGCAGCCCAATGGTATCAATGTGGATTTCACAAGCTTCAAAATCTCCCCTCCCCCTACCGCATCCCAAAACCAGTCCAGCTCGTCCCCGCCTCCCTAACCTGTTCTTCCTCCCACCTATCCCCTCCCCCCACCTCAAGCCGCACCCCCATCTCCTACCGACTAACCTCATCCCGCCCCCTTGACCTGTCCGTCCTCCCTGGACTGACCTATCTCCTCCCTACCTCCCCACCTACACTCACCTTTACTGGCTCCATCCCCGCCTCTTCGACCTGTTTGTTTCCTCTCCACCTATCCTCTCCTCTATCCATCTTCTATCCACCTCCCACTCTCTCCCTATTTATTTCAGAACCCCCTTCCCCTCCCCCTTTTCTGATGAAGGGTCTCGGCCTGAAACGTCAGCCTTTCTGCTCCTATGATGCTGCTTGGCCTGCTGTGTTCATCCAGCCCTGCACCTTGTTGTCTCAGACTTTAAATTTAATTGGTTTTTGGTATCTAAGTACCTGGTTCAAATTTATTGGCTAAATTCAATTGGCCTGTTGTCTTGGTTAAAACCTGCTGCTTGGCCTGCTAACTACGGCCTTTTCATACAGATGTTTCAATTTGGGTGCTCTGTGTGTATTTGCAAACTTTCAAACTACTGCTCACAGACATCGACTTTAAATGTCTAAGCACAGAAAAAGCACATTATCTTTTAAAAGGACCACACAATGCTTCTGCCTTCGCTCCCCTTTTTTACATGTGCTTTCATTTTCCCAACCAGCCTTCTCTGGGGGGGGCAGTATTAGAAGCTTTCTGAAAATGTAATTATATGCCATCCATGCTCTCTCCATTATCAATTTTGTTAGTAATACGGTAGCTTCAAAACCGTTCCAATAAGTCAAATATGATTTCCCGTTTGAAAATCTATGCTTATTGTGCTGAATCAAATCATTATCATTCAAGTGTATATTTATCACATCCTTCATAAATTTGGTAAAATTCTAGAATTTTCCTTCAAAGCAGGGAACTACAGAGCTGTTGCTGTCTCTGTCACACCAAGCTTATATAATGGGGCAACATTTGCTACCTTCCAATTCGCAAGAATCATTCCAGAATCTATAAATTTTGGAAGATAGTTATCAATGCATTGACTAACTCTGTTGCCACATCCTTCAACAAACTGGGGACTTAACAACTTGCGGTACCATTAACCTTTTCAGTACAGTCTTTTTACTGATGCTAATTTCCTTCACTCCTCATTCTTCGTAATTAATCGAGTCTCTAGTTATGGGAGATTTCTTGAATCCTATCAGTAAAAGCTGACACATAGTAATCATTTACCTTCTCTGCTATTTCTCTATTCCTCACTATAAATTCTTTTGACTCTGTCTATATGGATGCAACATGCCTTTTCGCAAAATGTTTCCTTCTTCCTACCATAAAATGTTTGATAGTCTGCTTTTGTGATATTTCCTAGATTGCATTCATTGTATTCTTCCTTTCCTTATCAATTACTTTGTGCTCCTTTTTGAGTCATTTAACACTTGCCTCATTTTCATGGTTACACCACTGGCCACCAAGCCATTAGCTGTATAAACTTCAAATCTGAAAATTCTCTTGCTAGCAGAGGTGAGAGAGTTTAAGAACTCCTTTAAATTCTATTTCTGTGATCAAGCTTTTGGTCATTCGTCCTATTATCTCTCTCTCTGTGGCTTTATAATAAATTCTGTTTATCAAGGCTGCTCTTTCAGCGCTCTGAAATGTGTTTGTTGAGAAGCATTGGAACAGGAAGAGGCCATTGTGTAATAGAAGCCTTTTTTCCCATTTGTGTGATCGTAATTGATCTATAACCTAATCTCAAAGACACACGTTTCCCCTTACTCTTAACACTCTTTGTTAACAAAAGTGTGTAAAACTCAGATTTGTATAAATCCATCATCATTTTTCATTTGTGGGTGAGTCTCAATTGCCTGCAACCTTTATTTGCAGAAGAATTTACTAATTTCACTTCTGAAAGATACTACTCTAATTTTTAAGACTATTGCCTCTTTATCTGAGACAATCAGCAACTCTTCACCAGCAGGAGTAGCTTCTCCCTCTCCACCAATGTCTGTTTCCATTGATTATCTTGAAAACTTTTTGATCAAATCAGTTCCAGACAATGCACCATTAGCTTGTGTAAGTTCTCCTTTATAATTCAAGCCTAACCTTTGCTATTTAACTCTTGAAGTCAAGTATATAATTTTCTGCTTTGTGTTGGTGCAAATTGAGGATTCATTTTGAAATATTCCTGATTACCTGACTGAATCACATAAAGCGGAGCTAGAGAAACATGACACATGTTGCTGTGTTACAGAGAGTGGGTTGGAGGTCCTTGCTGTGCAGAAAGTTTCAAAAGCCCAGGCATGGCAGCGAGCAGGGCGGGCAGGACGGCAGCAGGCAGGAATCTGTTACCGACTATACACTGAGGAAGAGTTCGAGAAATTCCTGAACATGACCGTACCAGAGATACAAAGGTGATCCTGCTTTCTCTTAAAATTTCTCATAGAAACTCTGTGGTTACTGTTACTGTTTGTAGTTGAGTCTTGACATTTATTCTAATGAGTTGTGAAACAGGATGATTTGATCCTAACTTCAGCCAGTTGTGTAACCCACCTTGTGTTTCCTGTTGTTTGGCTATCTGCAGATGTAATCTGGCGAATGTGATGCTTCAGCTGCTGGCCCTTCGGATACCCAACATCTTGACATTTGACTTTATATCAAAACCATCTCCAGGTAGGAGGAAAAACGATTCAATCACATTCCTGTACTTGATTGACCAACCCCTCGGAAGTAGAGTTTCTACAGAAAGCCTGAAAAATCATCTGACTTTGAATATTCCCACTCTTCAGAAAAGTAAACACCAATACATGAAAGAAAAATTAATTAATTACGAAAAGTGCAAATTTGAAATATAAACTGAAAATGCTAGAAATACTCAAACTTGGGCACCAGGTGTGGAGAGAAAGAATTGATGTTTCACATGAGTGAGCTTCCATCAAAACTGAAAGTTGAATGGTCCAGAATTAAGTGACTACAGAGGCAGGGGTAACTGGGCAAAAGAACAAAAGGAAAAGATATGCAAAAGGATGGAAAGTAATGAGAGTAAACAGTGAGAGACAAAGGTGCAATGCATAAAGTGATGGTATTGGATCAAGTAAAGAAATAAGAGCTGAGTCTTCAGGAGTCTTCAGGGACAGAATCCTTGCCACCATCTATTGTCTCATTTCTGCCATTCACACCACCCCATTGTAAATACACCTTCCCCTCCCTCTCTTTTTCTGAAGAGATCATTCCCTCTGTGATACCTTGGTTCACTTCTCAGGCATCATAATTTGTAGGAGCAGAAGTAGGCCATTCACCCTGCTGCTCCATTCAATGTGATTGTGGTTCATCTGATAATCCTCAACTACACTTTCCTGCCTCGTCCCCAAGACCTTTGACAAGAACATAAGAAACAAAAGCAGAAGTAGGCTGTGCACCCTCTTGTCCCTACTGTGTCATTCTATAAGAATGTGGCTGATCTGCCTGGGCTTTAACTCCTCTTTTATGTCAGCTCTGCACAGTCCTCAAGTCCTCTTTCAAATATCTGTCTACTTCCTCTTTAAATATTTTCATTGATCTAACCTCCGCAACTCTGGAAGAGTTACTGTTGAGAGAAGAAATTCCTTCACTGCCCAGTTTTAAATGAGTATCTCATTATTTTGTAACTATGTTCTCTTGTTTGATAGTCCCCCATTAGTGGAAATACCTCCTAACACTATGAAATTTCTATAGCATGAGTAAAGTACAAGGGTATGAAGACAGTTAAGAAAATTGGGAAGGTAAGTTAAAATGTAGGATAACTGAGAGTTTGTAACCCTCAATGAGAGAATCTCTTGAAGAAAAGGCTAGGAGAAGAATACACGCTCTGTGGCTAACTACGAAGATTAGGAAAATTTTAGAAACTGGCCAAGAATGGCATACAAAAGAAAAGATTGATATTGTTAGAGTAAACCAGAAAACCTAGTAAACCAAAAATTTTAAAATGACATTCAAAGTATTATGATTCACTGGGGAAGCATGATGGAAATTGAGCCCCCTTCCTCGTGGAGTTATGATCAAAAATTAAAGATTTTATGAAGTATGCAAAGTACCTCAATTTACCGGATTTTGAGATGCTGGTTGACAGAAAACATGGGGCAAGTTTCTGTACTGAATAGAAATCACTTTATTATAAGTTATTAGCTACAGCCTAATCAGTTATAAACTTTTGGCATATAATGCCATCAATTACATCTCCAGGTCCTCTAAACTCCCCTTGCACGTGCAGGCAGATAAACAGAACCGGTAAAGTGGGTTGTCGACAGAGGGTGCTGTTGTCGAGATGATCATTTTGACTCTTGTACTGGCCAGTTTGTTGCTTTAGTCATCTTTCTCTAGATGCTTCCACTAATTGATAAGAAACACAAGGTATCAGGTTCACTGATAAAGTCTCTGAACTATTAAAGTCACAGCTGACATCAACTGTTGCAGAAAAGAAAAGCTGACACTGACTTTCTTCAGGTTTACAGTCTGTTTTGACTGCAGAGAACAGATATTCCTCCTGAGCTAACAAAGAGAAAACACTTCTGTCTTATGCTTGTGTTCTCCCAGTTGTTCTGTCTCTCCCAATCATGCACTCTATCTGATTCTATCTCTCTCACTCATCTTGTTCGTGCTGTATATCTATCGCATTCTCTATCATGCTCATGCTCTCTATCACGCAAATGCTCACGTTCTATCTATTGCACTCGCCCTCTCTCGCACTTCCTATTGCGCTTTCGATTGCTCTCCCTCTATATGTATCACGCTCATCCTCTCTCTCCCCTTCTGTTGTGATCCGGTTCTGCCAATCATATTGCTGCTCTTGTTATTACATAGCTACTGTCACTCGATTGTGCTTGCTGTCTTGTCTCTTGTGTGCTCTCATTTTTCACTCAGGCGAGCCCTGCCACACTGTCTTCCTTTTGTAATCTGTTCTCACCTCCAAGCTGTAAGGTCTCTGTTATTGATAAGTGGTTCACAGGTCCATAGGTCAGTCATCTGCTCGTTGCCAGTAAGAGCTGCATCTGGACACCCCTTCATCTCCAAACTATCTGTGTCTCAACCTTCAGTTACTGCTTGTTTAAATGCTTGGTTATGTGGTACCTAGCATAGGTGTCATGTTACTTGCTTTCAAGATGGCAGCCACTCTCTCAAACACCAGTTTAGAATAGCTCTCTCTCTCTCTCATTTTAATCATGTTTTTAACACACAATATAAAGACCAATTAAAAAAGCTTCTACAAGTGTATAAAAATGATAATATTAAAGTTATAATTGATACAATAAGGCTGAGTCTGAGAATTAATAATGGGGGGGATAAAGAAGAATTTGAACAAATATTTTTGTATCTGTCTTCACAGTGTAAGGCACAAAAATCCCAAATTTGTGGAAAAAGAAAGGACAAAAGGGAGGCACTTAAGCCGCCTCAATCCTTAGAGGAAACATACTAGGAAGATACATGAAATCTCCCAGAAGCAGAGATCCTAGCAGCTAGGGAAAATGTGGATTTGAAGGAAAATAGCATTAGTAAGACATTTGTGTTGGAGAAATTTAATGGGGCTGAAAGGTAATAAATCCCCCCTGCCTACATCCCAGGGTGTTGAAGGAGGTTGCTATAGAGATTATTGATGCATCTTCCAAAATTCTTTTGGTTCTGGAATAATTCTTGCAAATTGGAAGGTGTTATATGTCACACCAGTATTTAAGAAAGGAGAGACAGACAGCCGCAAAAAGTGGGGTACTACAGACTTCTTAGCCTCACATCATGAGACAGGAAAATGATTTCATCTGTTATAAAGAATGCAATAAATAGACACTTAGTAATAATGATCTGATTAGACATAATATTTGCAAATGAGAAAAATGTTTAACACATGTTTGGAGTTGTTTAGAGATGTTACCAACAAGATTGATTAAAGGGAAGCTGTTGGATATAGTATACTTAGATTTTCAGAAGATATTTGAAGTCTGTCATAGAAGACTGGTAGAAAAATTAAAGCATGTGGGATAGAAGGTAATGTACAAGCGTAGATTAACAATTAGCTAACAGATAGATAGAAAACAGAGACTAGGAAGAAATGGCATTATGTTGATGCTGATAACATTAATAGACTGTGACTAGTAGATTACCACTTGGATCAATACTTGAGGCTCAAGCTGTTTACAATATATCTGAATGACTTGAATGTAAGAATCAAATGTATTCCAAATTTGTGAATGAAAGGAAGCTAAGTGGGAATCTGTTGTTAGGAAGGTGTAAAGCTGCCTCAGGAGGATTTAGTCAGGCTTAGTGAATAGGCAAGAATATTGCAGATGGAATATAATATGGAAAAATCATGAGATCATCTACTTTGACATGAGTCACAATTGTGTAGAATAATTATTAGCTGTTAAGAGGTTGGGAAGTGTAGATGTGCAAAGGGACCCAAGAGTCCCTGCCAATAAGTTACTGAAAGCTAACATGCAGTTGCAGCAAACCATTAGAAAAGCTCTCCTAGAAGAATCATAGAATCCCTACAGTGCGGGAACAGGCCATTCGGCCCGTCAAATCTATGCCAACCTTCCAAAGAGCATCACCAGTCTTGCTGCTCCGATAGAGGTGCTATCTTACGAAAAGCATGTGGGCAAATTGTATTTTCTAGAGCTTGAGAGGCAGTTGAAATATACAAAATGGATAAAGCGACATATAGATCAGATGTGTAGATATCAGTCGGATATTGCCCCTGGAAGGGGGGACGAGAACCAAGAGCACAGTTTAAAAATAGGAGATTCCACTTGTGTCTGAACTGAGGAGAAATGTTTCACTTCAACGGTTGCAAGCCTTTGGAATTCTCTGGCTGTGAATGCTCAGAGCATGTTTAAGGTTAGAATAAGTGAAATATACAGTACAGAAGGAGGCCATTTGAGCCACCATGTCCGTATTGGCTCCCAAAAGAGCTACCCAGCTAGTCCTGCTCTCCAGCCCTATCCCCGTAGACCCCTAACTTCCTCCCTTTTCAAATACATTTCCAGCTCTCTTTTCAAACTTTGTGTGGAATCTGCCTCCACCACTCTCAGGCAGCGCATTCCAAATCCTAACAACTCTCCGAATAGAGATGTTTCTTTTCATCTCACTCCCAGTTCTCTTGCTGCGAATCTTGAAGTTGTGACACCTAGTTACTGACATACCAACTAGTGGAATGTCAAAATGCGAAATGTTTTACCCTGTCAAAATTGTTCAAAATTTTGAATGCCTCAATAAGGTCACCTCTTAATCTTCTGTGCTCCAAGGAGAACAAGGCCAATCTCTCTAATTTTTCCTTGTATTTAAAATGCTTCATTCCTGGTATCATTCTAATAAATACCCACTGAACTCTGTTCAGGATTTTAACATCCTTCTGTCAGTAAACTGCCCAGAGCTGAACACCATACTCCAAATGTGGTCTGACTAATGACTTGTAAAGGTGTAGCATCACTTGCTTTTATACTCTGTCTCTGTTTAAAAACTCAAAGATCCTATAAGCCGCCTTAACAACTCCTGCTCCTGTACTCCCCTCAAAGTTGTAACATTGATGTAGTTGGTTGGCTCGCCAAGCTGGTTCATTGTTTTTCCGCAGACGTTTCATTACCCTGCTGGGTAACATCATCAGTGCAGACTCTGATGAAGTCCCATTGTGTTTTCCCGCCTGTTATTTAAATTCTGGAGTCCATTGATCTGGATTACCTCCCTTCCGGTTTTCCTTCACAGTGGAATGTATATGGGGTCGAGCTTTGTGTTTGTTGATGGTTTTCTTCGTGGAATACCAGGCTTCTAGGAATTCCCATGCTTGTCTCTGCTTTGCTTGTCCCAGGATCTTGGTGTTGTCCCAGTCGAATTGGTGGTTCTCCTTATCCAGGTGGATAGAGATGAGTGGGTATTGGTTGTGTCTTTTTGTAGCCAGTTGATGTTCGTGTACCCTTGTTGTTAATTTCCTTCTTGTTTGTCGCAGCATTTGCAAGGAATCTTGTATATGACGTGGGTCCTGTCCATAGTGGGTAGTGGGTCTTTGGTTCGGGTGAGCAGTTGTTGTAGGATTGATGTGGGTTTGTGTGCTACTCTGATGCCCAGTGGTCGTAGGAGTCTTGTGGCCAGTTCCGATGTGTTCCTGATGTAAGGTAGTGTGAGGAGTGTGTCGGGGCGTGTAGTATCTTCCTGATGGCGTTTGTGTAGTAGGCATCTTCTGTCCCAGTTTTTCAGATATCCATTGTCCTTGAATACCTGGAAGAGGTACTCTTCATGGCGTAGCTCTGTGCTGCTGCAGTGTGTTGTTGCCCGTTTAAATAATGTTCTCATATAACTTCGTTAGTGTGTGTTACGGTGGTTGCTGTTGAAGCGCAGTACTTGGTCAGTGCATGTGGCTTTCCTGTGTATATTTGTTAGGAATTCCTCATTTTGTCCTGCACTCTACCATGACATCCAGGAATGGGAGCTGTTTGTTCTTCTCGTCTTCTCTGGTGAATCTGATTCCGGTGAGGGTGTTGTTTATTAGTTTGTGTCTCCTCCAGTTTGGTCCGTTTAATGATGACAAAGGTGTCGTCCATGTAGCATATCCATAGTTTTGTTTGGATTCGTGGAAGGGCTGTACTTTAAGTCTTTGCATCACTGCTTCAGCTATTAGTCCAAAGATAGGTGATCCCATAGGTGTCCTGTTATTCTGTTTGTATATTTGGCCGTTAAAGGTGAAGTGGGTGGTGAGACACAAGTCCAGTAGCTTCAGCATGTTGTCTGTGAGGATGGTGTCACTGGGGTCTTGTTCTTGTTTCAGTAGTGTCGTCAGTGTTTCTCTTGCTAGTAGTATGTCTATCAATGTGAATAGGATAGTAACGTCAAACAATACCATGGTCTCGTTGTCATCTATCCTTATGTCCTTGATGGAATTGAGGAACACCAAAATCCTGGGACAAGCAAAGCAGAGACAAGCACGGGAATTCCTCAAAGCCTGGTACTCCATGAAGAAAGCCATCAAAAAACACATAGAGCTCGACCCCGTATACACTCCACTGCGAAGGAAAATGGGAAGTGAGGTAATCCAGCTCAACTGACTCCAGAGTTTAAATAACAGGCAGGAAAACACTACGGCGCTTCATCGGAGGCTGCACTGATGTTACCCAGCAGGGTAATGAGACGTCTGCGGAAAAACAATGAACCAGCTCGGCGAGCCAACCAACCGCAACATCCACAACCCGAGCTACGAATCTACTCTAAAACCTTAGTTGTACCATTTGAGCCTGTATTGTTAGTCCATGTTTCGTTCATCTAAAAATATTGCCTCACATTTCTCGGCATTGAATTTCATCTGCCACGTGCCTGCCCATTTGGCCAACTTGTCAATGTCCCTCTAAAGATGCTCAGCATTCATACTTCACTGTTCTCCCAAGCTTAGTATCATCTGCAAATTCAGAGATTTTGCCCTCAACACCCATCTCCAAATCATTCGTCTAAATCAGAAAAAGCAAGGGTCCTAACCCTGATCCCTGGGGATTACTACTTTTCAACTTGTCTCGAATCTGAGAAATGTCCATCTGTACCTACTCTCTGTTTCCTATCCTTTAGCCAGCTTCTAATCCATGCTGCCAAGGAACCATCAATCCCAAACGTTTCTAATTTGCTAACTAACCTGCCATGTGGCACTGTATCAAAAGCTTTCTGAAAGTCCAAATATACAACATCCACAGCATTACCCTCATTTGCTGCCTATGTCACCTCGTCAAAGAACTCAATTAAATATGTTAGACATGACCTGCCCTTGACAAAGCCACATTGATTTTCTCATTAATTTATTTTACTGTAAGTGTATATTTACCTAAACCCATATTACAGCCTCCATCAGTTTTCCCACTACTGATGTCAAGTTGACAGGTCTGTAGTTTCCTGGGTATCCTGAGATTGATTGACTCATTTCTGATTACCAATATACTACCTACCAGGCTTATGGGGATGGGGTGGGTAATAGGCATTGAAGCGTTCAAAGTGTTCAATTAACAATGATCATATTGAATGGTGGGGCACACTCTGTGGGGTCAATACATGCTGCTGTTCTTGTGTTGTATATTCTTACTAGAAGCTGTAATGGAAATAAAGGCTGACAAGTGCTCTGGACCTGAGCCTGCATCACAGGGTATTAAAAGAAGTGATTGGGTCAACGATCTCTGCATTGTCTGTAGTCTTTCAAAATGCACCAAATTCGGTAGATTGGAAAACCACAAATGTGATACCCTTGTTCAAGATGGGAAAGAGACAGAAAGCAGGAACCTAGAGGCCAGTTAGCCTTACTTCTGACATTGGGAAAACACTGCAATCCATTATTAAGTCTAGGAGGCCATGCAGAAAATCATAACGCAATCAAGCAGAGTTGACATGGTCTTGTGAAAGGAAAATAATGTTTGTCAAATTTATTAGTGTTCGTTAGGATATAACGAGCAGAGTGGATAAAGGAGACCCATTAGATAATATGTATTTCGTTTTCCAAAAGGTATTTGATAAGGTCACAGAATTGTTCAGATGCTGAAGTAGGTCATTCAATTCACGGAGCCTGCACCAGTGATATTTCCTAGTAAATCTCCGGTTTTTGCGAACCCCCCACCGCCCCCCCCCCACCCAACCAATATGTATGCTCACCATTTCTATTCAAATAATCATCATCCAATGTCCCCTGGAATACCCCAGTTGAACTTGCCTCCACCACATTTCCAAGCAGTTCATTCCGCAGTTTAACCTCCTGCTTTCACTTTAAAATTATGCCCCCCTGTTCTTGACCCTTCAGTTAAGGTAACAGGTGCCTTCTATTCACTGTCCATGCCCCTCATGATCACACACACCTCAGTCAGATCCCTCTTAACCTTCTCTGATTCAAAGACAACAACCCAAGCTTATCCAGCCTCCCTTTATAGCTGAAATGCTCTATCCCAGGCACCATCCTGGTGAATCTCCTCTGCACCCCCTCCAATGCAATCGCATCCTTCCTAAGGTGCAGAGACCAGAACTGCACACAGTACTGCAGCTGTGGCCTAACCAACGCCCTAGTCAGCTCCAACGTTACCTCCCTTCTCCTTTAATCTATGCCATGACTGATAAAAGCAAGCATCCTGTATGCTGCATTAACTACTCTGTTAAGCAATCCTGCTGTCTTCAGAGAACTATGAACAAGCACCTCAAGATCACTCTGTCCTTTGAACTTTCTAGTGTACTGCAATTTAGTGCTCCCTTGTCTTGCTACTTCTTCCAATATCAGGGTTAAATTCCATCTGTCCATCTGACCAATCTGTTTATTTCCTTACTGTCAACCACTGAGCACAGTTTGTGTCATCTGCACATTATCATTGCCCCCCACATTTTCATCAACATCATTTATGAATATCACGAACAATAAGGGACCCAGCACTAATCATTGTATTATGCCACTGCACACTGGGCTCCAGCAACACAAACAGCCTTCTACCACCGCCCTCTGTCTCATGCCATAGAGCCAATTTTGGGTCTAACTTACCAAGTTACCCTGGATCCCATGAGCATTTACCACCTTAATCACTTTCCACCGTGGGACCTTGTCAAAGGCCTTGCTGAAATCCATATAAACCACTCAACTACTGGCATGGTGGTTCAGTAGTTGGCACTGCTGCCTCACAGCACCAGGGCCCCGGGTTCAGTTCCACCTTTGGGCGACTGTCTGTGTGGAGTTCACACATTCTCCCCAAATGGAGATTATTAGGCACTTGTGCCTGCACCAGCTTTTCAAATGACAGTTATTGGAGTTTAGAAGAGAAGAGGCAACTTTATTGAAACATCCAGATTCTTATGGAACATGATTGGGTGGATACAGAAAGTTTGTTTCCTCTTGTGGGAGAGCCTAGGAGTAGATGGCTTAGAACAAGATGTAGACATATTTTAAGATTATAGAAGAGGAGAGTAGTAAATTTATTAAATTCTTTACTGCAGAAGGCTGTAGGGGCTGGATAATTAATTATGTACAAGACGGATGGGTTTTTGATCAGTAAGGGAATTGAGAGTTATGGCAGGAAAATGGAGGCAAGGATTATCCGATCAGCCACAATCTCTGAATGGTGAAGCTGACTTGATGGGCTAAATAGCCTGCTTCTGCTCCTATGCCTTGTGGTTTATGTCATTTGAGGACCTTCAAACTGAGTTTTATTTTGAATTGACGAGGGAATTGAGGGTTATATGGAGTTGGCACCGAAGTGAAGTTAAAGCTTCAGTCAGATCAGCTGTGGTCTTATTGACTGGCAGAGCAGATTCAAGGTTGAATGGCCTACTCCTTTATCTTGCTGCACCTCACTTTGCAAAGTCATTCAGACATAAGTGTCACAGAATGCAACACTTCTTCAGAAGCATGTCCCAAATCACCAGCCCAATCAATAAGATGTTCCATCAATTAATTCTAAGTTGTTAAATGCTTGTAGTTGCTGATTTGTGCTTGTCATCTTTGAATTAGCAGAGCATGTTCTGCCACGTCTGTTTTGAAGAATGATTTACGAATCGATGAACAAAATTCTAAAAGCTTTGGATTCTAATGTAATATTTGAATTTTGTTATTTTGCGTTGCTGTTTTCCATCTCACATGTAGTCTGTTGTACTCTGTGGGGTGTTAGCTCTTTAACGTCTGCCATAGCTGATTTAATGTATCCACAGATGCAGTGCGGGCAGCCATTGAACAGCTTGAGCTGCTGGGTGCAATCGAGTGCAAAGACAGCCAGATCATTCTGACACAAATGGGCAAGAAAATGGCAACATTCCCTCTGGAACCCAGATTTTCCAAGGTAGAAAGCACTAGAAAACCCACAACCATTACCATCTAGATACACCACAGTGTGCAAGTTCACCTCCAAGTAACTCACCATTCTCATTTGGAAATACATTGCTAATCCTTAAGTGTTGCTGGGTCAAACTCCTGGAACGGCCTCCCTTACAGCATTATGGGTGTACCCACACCCATGGATTGCAGCAATCCAAGAAGGAAGTTGTTTTCCATCACCTTTTCAAAGGCAATTAGAAATGGACAATAATGAGCAATGCCCACATCACATGGAAAATGAAATAAAGTGTAGCTCCCCACTTACCCAGGGCCTTCGCATCTTCTCTAAGGAATGCTGCTTAGAATTTAATACAATACTTGAACTGAGGTTTAATCAATAGACAAAGATTAAGCATGACCTTGTTACTAAATGGCTGTATTTACAAAATGAGAAAGCATCTGTGCTTTGAACAGAGACAAATTACTGGTGAAATTCAGCAGTTCTGGCAGCATCTGTAGATAGAAGAAACAAGTTAATGTTTCAAGTCCAGGTCTGAACAAAGTGTCAGTGGATTCAAAATGTTAACTCTGCTTTTCTCTCCACAGATACTTCCAGACCTGTTTTTGTTTCTGATCTCCACCATCTGCCATTCTTTGTTTTATTTTGACCCTTTTTAACAGCTTGTACTGCCACCTTCAGTGTTTATAATGACTCAGTTCTCTGTTTCTGCACTCCCTTTGCAGTAGTGCCATTTACTTTGTTACTTCTCATCAATGTCCCTAACCAAATGCATCACGTCACGCACCCCTGTGTTAAGTTTAATTTTCCCCCTGTTTTCCATTGCCCTAAAAATAAACAAAGATCACAAAATGCATGCACACTTCATTTAGGGCAGGTTATGTGTGTCCATTCCAATGCGATTCTGAATCGTACTGAACAGTTATACAGATGACTAGGTTTAAACCTTTTTCCCTGTGCCGAATTACCTGAGTGGAGCTTGACTGACTGTAGTCATGATACCCTTGGCCACAACTCCTGCGTAATAGCAACCTTTGTCACAGCCTTACTGCAGACCCAGAGACTGATGAGTCTTTCTTTCCACCCTCCCCTTCTCCGTGACATATCACACTTGAACTTCTCTATTGACCATGGCACCACCTATCTCAACCAGCAATGTCATCAGGGAAAACAACAACAGTGTCTTTTGGGATGGAAAAGACCTGTTCAAAACGAATGGGTCTAACCTAAACTGGAAAGGGACCAATATCTTAGTAGGGAGAACTGCTCATTCTACTAAGGAAGACTTTATACTGATAGAGATGGCGAGTGGCGAAATTCTAAGTAGCAGTGTAAATGGAAGGATTGATGGGGAAGGTTCTGAATGTGAGTAGAGCACGTCAATTAGAAAAGAAAGACCAGAGAGAGTCAGAGTATGTAGTAACTCTGAAGAACTAAATTGCATTTATTTCAGTGCAAGGGGTCTCACAGATAAGGCTGATGAATTCCGGGCATGTTTAAGGATATGGGATTGGGACATCATAGCTAATTACAGAAACTAGGCTGAGAGATGGACAAGACTGGCAGCTCAATGTTTCCAGTTTTAGATGCTATAGGAAGGATAGAAAAGGAGGCAAGAAAGGAGGGGGGATGGTGGGGGTGTGGTGTTTTTGATTAATGAATACATTAATGCTATACTAGGGCAGATATTTCTGAAAAATCATCCAGTAAAAATATATGGGTAGAAATTACAAATAAGAAAGGAAAGATCACTTTGATGGGATTGTACTGTAGGCTCCCCCAATAGTAAGAGAGAAATTGAGAAGCAATTATGTAGGGAGATCTCAGATATATGTAAGCATAATAATGTTGTAATAATGGGGGATTTTAATTTTCCAAATTACTGGGACCACCATAGTGTTAAAGGTTTGGATGGTGAAGAATTTGTCAAATGTGCTCAAGAAAATTTTCTTTAGCAATATGTAGATGTTTCTACTAGAAAAGGAGCAAAACTGGATCTTCTTTTGGGCAATAAGGCAGGGCAGCTGACTGAAGCAAAAGTAGGGGAACATTTTGAGTCTAGTGATGATAATTCCATTAATGTCAAAATGGCTCTTGAAAGGGATAAGCCTTCCATAAAAGTTCAAGTTTTTAATTGGAGTAAGGCTAATTTTAATGGTATGAGACAAGAACTTTCAAAAGTTGATTGGAGTAGACTGTTCGCAGGTGATGACGAGAGTTCCAAGGCATTTTGTTTTTGTTAGAAGCAAGAGGGTAACTAGAGAGAGGATTGGGCCTCTTAAAGATCAAGGAGATCATCTTTGTGTTGAAACCCAGGAGATGGAAGCGATACTAAATGAATATTTTGTATCAGTTTTTACTGTGGATAAAGAAATGGAGTCTAGAGAATGCAGAGAAATAAACTTTGATGTTTTAACAGTTCACATTACAGAAGAGGAAGTTCAGGTGGTCTTGGAGAATATAAAGGTGGATAAAGCTCTAGGACCTGATCTAATGTATCCCAGAACGTTGTGGGAAGTAAGGGATGAAATTACGAGACCCCTTGCAGAAATGTTTGCATCATCTTTAACTACAGATGAGGTGCCTGATGACTGGAGAGTGGATAACATTGTACCTTTGTTTAAGAAAGGTTGTAAGGAGAAACAGGGGAACTATAGACTTGTGAGTCTGACTTCAGTTGTGGGTAAGTTGTTGGAGGTGATTATAAAAGATAGGATTTATGGACATATAGAGAGGCAAAAATTGATCAGGGATAGTCAGCATGGTTTCGTGAGAGTAAAATCATGTCTCACAAACTTGAGTGTTCTGAGGAAGTTACCAAAAAGGTTGATGATGGCAGAGCAGTAGATGTTGTTTACTTGGGTTTTAGTAAAACCTTTGACAAGGTTCCGCATAGTAAACTAATTAGTAAATTTAGGTCACATGGGATTCAGGGTGAGCTTGCCAATTGGATACATAACAGCAGGAGACAGAGAAATGGTGGGGGTTTACTTTTCGGCCTGGAGGCCTGTGACCGGCAGCATTCCACAGGGATCAGTTCTGGGTCCTCCTTTGTCGTTTATATAAATGATTTGGATGAGAATATAGAAGGCATGGTTAATGAGAATGATACCAAAATTGGTGGCATAGTAGACAGTGAAGAAGGTTTTCTAAGATTACAAAGGGATCTTGATTTAATGGGTCAATGAGCTGAAAAATGGCAGATGGAATTCGAGCTGAGTAAATGTGAGGTATTGCATTTTGGTATAACAAACAAGGGTAGGGCTTGCACAATTAATGGTAGGACCTTTGGTAGTGTTGTACAACAATGGGACCTAGGGATGCAGGTACATAATTCTTTAAAGTTTGCATCACATTTGACAAAATGGTCAACAAGGTGTTTGGCACGCTAGCCTTCATTGCTCAGTCCTTTTGAGGTGTAGGAGTTAGAATGTTATGTTGAGGTTGTGCAGAACATTGGTAAGACTTCTACTGGAATACTGTATCCAGTTCTGGTCTCCCAGTTGTCGGAAAGATATTATCAGGATGGAGAGAGTTCAGAAGAGATATACCAGGATATTGCCAATTATGGAAGGTTTGAGTTGTAAGGAGAGGCTGGATAGGCTGGGATTTTTTCCACTGGAGCGTAGGCGGTTGAAAGGTGACCTGATAGAAGTTTATAAAATAATGAGAGGCATAGATAGAGTTGATGGTAGTTGTCTTTTCCCTAAGATGGGGAATTTCAAGACTAGGCAGCACGTTTTTAAAGTGAACGGAGAGAGATTTTAGAAAAACAGACATGAGGCAAATTTTTTACATAGAGGGTTGTTCATGTGTGGAATGAATTTCCTGATGAAGTGGTCGATGTGGGTACAATTAGTGTTTAAAAGACATTTGGATGGATATATAAATGAGAAACGTTTGGAGAGGATATGGGCCAGGCACAGGCAGGTGGGACTAATTTAGTTTGATTATGTTCGGCATGGACTGGTTGGACTGAAAAGTCTGTTTCCGTGCTGTGTAGTGACAGCAGTGTAGTGGTGATGTCGCTGGACTGGTAGTCCAGAGGCTCAGATTAACATTCTTTGAATATCAATTCAGTTCCCAGCATGGCAGATGTTAGATTTTGAAATGTATTTATTTGAATTGACATTAAATAGCATCACTGAATCCCTCACTATCAACATCTTGGGGGTTGTCCTTAATCAGAAATTAAATTGTGCAAGCTATGTAAGAGTAGGTCAGAAGCTGGGAACCCGCAGCAAGTAATCCATTTCCTGCTTCCCTAAAGTCTGTTCACAAGGCCCAAGGCAAGAGTGTAATGGAATAATCCCCAGTTGACTGGGTGAATGCAGCTCCAACAACAGCATCCAGGGCAAAGCAACTCACTTTGTTTGCAACACATTACAAACACTTACTCCTTCAGCCTCTGACCCTCTGTACGCACCATCCACAAGATGTGCTATAAAAATTCACCAAGGCTCCTTAGGCAGCACTTTCCAAACTCATGACTGCCATCTAGAAGGACAAGGGCAGCAGATATATGGGAACACTATCGTCTGTAAGTTCTCTTCGAAGTCAGTCTTAATCCTGAATTGGCAACATATCGCTACTCCTTCGGGGTCAAAATCCTGGCACTCTTTTTGTCAGGGCATTGTGGATCTACCTGAAGCACATGGACTGCAGTGGTTCATGAGACAGCTCACCACCACTTCCACAGCAAATAGGAAAGGGCCACAAATGCTGGTCCAGCCAGTGATCCCTGCATCCAATAATTGATAATAAAAAGAAATCTGCAATTGAGAGTTGGTTTAATGGTGACCATGAAATTATTATTGAGTGTTGTTTCTAAAAAAAAAAAAAAAAATCTGATTCATCAATGTCCTTTAGGGTAAGAAATCTTACTTGGTCTGATCCTTATGTGACTCCAGAACCACTGCAACGAGAACCAACTTCCAACCAACATGGCAACTCCATGCAAGGAAGTCACTCTCTCTGCCCAGGCATCATGGACTAAGGCATGGGTTTGCTCAGGTTTAAAGAAATGATACTAAAGGGAACTCTCCTAGCTACCTTTCTCTAAAGGTGTGGGGTTGAAGTGCAGCAAGGAAGGGCTGTTCTTCATGCTTTTCTGAGAAGGAGTGGCTACATAGCCCCTATCTGTGTGGGAAGGAGCTGAAGTGATCATCTCCATCTCCCTTCTCTGTGAGGAGGGGAGGGAAGAAACCATTAGAAGCAATCAGAAATTTAGTAGAAACTTAACCTAGCAAATAGACAGAACATGAACTCACCTCCATTAGGTGTAATTGAGGTGACTAGCATTGATGTATTCCATGGGAAATCAGATGAACACGTGATGGGAAAAGAAAATAAATGGATATGCTAAATGGGAATAGCTGAAGGCACATGGGAGGAAACGTTTATGAAGCATAAACACTAGCATAGACCATTTGGCCAAATGGCCAGCGTCAGTGGTGTAGAAACTGTAGTGTTCCTGATAAATGTGTAAGGAATGATGTAACTTTAAGTGTGTTCCTTTCTCTGTCAGGCTGTCCTGCTGTCCCCAGAGTTTCACTGTTCTGAGGAGATCTTGACCATCATTTCATTGCTTTCTGTGGACAGTGTCCTGTACAATCCGCACAGTAAACGGGAGGAAGCACACTCTGTGAGAAAGAGATTCATCTCAAGTGAGGGAGATCACATGACCCTCCTGAACATATATCAGGCTTTTAAGAATGTAGGAGGACATAAGGTAAAACCTATTTCTTGAAGTTTATTTTTGGAGAGAGTGTGACAGCTTAGGAATTGCCCGTTAAAATCCAATCAAGAGCCTTTGAAATAGCCATCTACCATCATGGTAGTTAGATTATACAATGAGAGTGGAGTTACTGTGTAATTGCAACCCTCGGTCTCCAACAATTATTCCACATCAGCTCTAGAATGTGGTGAGGAATATCTTCGTGACGGAAAATATCAACCTTGCAGTTTAGTGATAGTGCAAACAAACCTTGTCACTGCGGCTCAGATTATGTTCCTCCAGGAACTCTTGAGTCCAGACTACATTACAGCCTTGTTCCAGAAATGGATAAATGAATTCCAGAAGCGAGGAGAGAATGATTGCAGTTTACGTGAAGGCAGCATTAAACAGTGTAGCATCAAGGAGCTTTAGCAAAATTCAAAACGGCAAAAAGCCTCCGCTGGTTGGAATCATATTTAACACAAAGAAGGATAGTTATGGTTGTTGGTGGTCAGTCATCTCAGCAGCAGGGCATCTCTGCAGGAGTTCCTCAGGGTAGTGTCATAGGTCTAACCATTTCAACTGCTTCATAGATTACCTTTTCTCCATCATTAGCTCAGAACTGGGAAGGTGCAATCATCAGTAAACAATATTCAATACGATTCATGATGACTCCAATGTTGAAGTAACCCATGCCTGTATGAAACAAATCCTGCATAACATCCAGGCTTAAGCTGTTAAGTAACAATTAATAGTCACACCACACGAGTCCTTGGCAATGACCATCTTCAACGAGAAAGAATCTAGCCATTGCCTCTTAATGGTCAATGAGATTACTATCCCGGAGTCCTGCACTATTAGCAACCTGGGGGTTACTTATCAAAAACTTTGGTATCACCTTTCAACAGCAGGACTAATGTCATCTGGTCCCCAGTCCAATAGTAACTTGTGAAAGGTTTATGTCAGAGTTTATGAAGTTTCTTCCCCAATTTGTTTTAGGATCCTCAGGTACTCTCATCTGGTCCCTTAGATGTGTACAATGTTACAGCTTGCACTGCAACGCTCTGTGGTTTTCTTTCCAGTTTAAATAAATTATTTTCATCTCCTTGATAAAACCCAAGTTATAAAGACTGCTGAGAACTCCGATGACCGGTGTAGGCATCAGTGGTCAGTTCCTCACTAGTTTCACATCCTGTTTAATATATACAGTTAGACAGTTGCATAATCGAAGTGATATCTAGAATAAATATAATATATAGATAATATAAACATTAGCTTTTCAATGCCAAGTGTTTTAAATATCATTTTTGACCTCCAGTTGTACACAATTCAATTTGACGGTGTAAAGTGATTGCTGTCAATTAAAGGGTCTCAATTTTTCAAACCGAACAGCACCCGGATAAGCTGCTGTTCTCTGGGAATTGTAGTTCAGTACAGCTGAGTACCTTGAGGTGACCAGTTGGCGAGGGGAGGATTTAATGTGATCCCTGGGTTGCAGTTGCATGATCAATCCTGTGATTACTGTAACAACTGTGTGCCTAACACATTTTTGAATATATATAAATATATATTACAGAATCTGTTAATAACTTTCTACTTTTGTTTAATGCCTGCTCATCAGGAATGGTGTAGAGAGAACTTTGTGAATGGCCGAAACATGGCAATGGTAACAGAAGTTAGATGTCAACTGCGTGACATTTGTGCAAAGGTAAAAATGAATTTCTCACCAGTTCACGTACCTCCTATGGTTGATGGCTCACTTGATGTCAATTCCAGTTTTTTCTTAGACCAGAGGCAAAGAAGCAGCCCAGTGTGATTCTTCCGCACAGAGAGAGGAAGTGTGTAGTCTGCAGGGCCCATCATGGTTGAGGTTATAACCAACTTACAGTCTGGGCATGTAACTGGAAAATTAATTTCAATTTAACCAAGTGTGAGTTGATGGATTTAAAGAGGAATAATAAGAGTGTGAATGGGAGTCTAATAAGAATCTAAATGTATCTATTTTAATAATTAATTTTGTTATTTTAATGTGTGAAATTTATACCCACCAATGCAAACAAACTTCTGGCAATAACTTCTACACAGATGGAATTTAAAGGCAACAAAGTGGATTGAACTACACAATCTTGGCGGGACAGTTGATGAACGGTGTTTTTCAGACTGAATACAAGTTTATTTAGTGGTTCCGCCCCACGATTAATGATGGGACCACTGCTCTTTTTGATATACGTCCATGATCCAGACTTGGGTAGAAGGGGAATCATTTCAAAATTTTCAGTTGAATAAAACTCTGGCAGTTAACTGTCAATGAGGAGAGTAGTAACAGACCTCAGGAAGACATAGACTGGTGAAATAGCACGACAGATGGCTTTGGACTTCAGGTGGAATTCCGTTCCAAGCACCTCCATTTACAAATGGTGTGGAGAGTTTGAAGAAGTTGCCAGTAAGATTTGTTTGGCTGATATGAAGAATTAAGGACTAGACAGGAAATGTAGTTGTAGAATCACAATCCATTGACCCAGGCTGTTTTGAGGACTTGAGTTCAAAACCTACCAGGACAGTGGGTGGAACTTCAGATTTTATTGAATTAAAGTTAGTCTTTTTCATGGTGACCATGGCAACTATTATCAATTGTTTTAAAAACCCATCAGAATTGTAGAATTATAAAGTACAGAAGAGCCCATCAAGTCTGTACCATTAAAAGTATGAATGCCTATACTTACCTGAACTTGGAACATAGCCTTGAATGTTACGACACTTTAAGTGCTCATCCAGGTACTTTCCAAAGGCTGTGAGGTTTTCTGTCTCCACTACCTTCCCAGGCAGTGCTTTCCAGACCCCCCTCACCCTCTGGGTGAAAATGTTTTGCCTTGAAGTTTGCAGATGACATCAAAATTGGAGGTGTAGTTGCCAGCGAATAAATTTACCCTGGAGTACAACAGGATCTTGATCAGATCGGCCAGTGAGCCGAGGAATGGCAGATGGAGTTTAATTTAGATAAATGTGAGGTGCTGCATTTTTTGAAAGGCAAATCAGGGCACGACTTATACACTTAATGGTAAGGTCCAGAGGAGTGTTGCTGAACAAAGAGACCTTGGAGTACTTTTTCCTTGTAAGTGGAGCCACAGGTAGACAAGATAGTGAAGAAGGCGTTTGGTACGCTTGCCTTTATTGGTCAGTGCATGAGTATAGGAGTTGGGAGGTGATGTTGCAGCTGTACAGGACGTTGGTTAGGCCACTTTTGGAATACTGTGCGCAATTCTAGTCTCCCTGCTATAGGAAAGATGTTGTGAAACTTGAAAGGGTTCAGAAAAGATTTACAAGGATGCTGTAAGGGTTGGAGGGTATGAGATATAGGGAGACACTGAATAGGCTGGGGCTATTTTCCCTGGAGTGTTGGAGGCTGAGGGGTGATGTTATAAAGGTTTATAAAATCATGAGGGGCATGGATAGGTTAAATAGACAAAGTCTTTTCCCTGGAATAGGTGAGTCCAAAACTAGAGGGCATGGGTTTAAGGTGAGAGGGGAAAGATTTAAAAAGGACCTGAGGGGCACCCTTTTAAGGCAGACGATGGTGCATGTATAGAATGAGCTGCCAGAGGAAATGGTATAGAGGCTGGTACAATTACAACATTTAAAAGGCATCCGGATGGGTGTATGAATAGGAAGGGTCTAGAGGGATATGGGCCAAATGCTGGCAAATGGGACTAGATTAATTTAGGATATCAGATCAGCACGGATGAATTGGACCAAAGGGTCTGTTTCTGTGCTGTACATCTCTATGACTCTGAATCCCTTCTAAACCTCCTGCATTATATCCCCTTGTTATTGACCCTTCAACTAAGGGGAATACTTGCTGTTTATTTACCCTGCCCATGTCCCTCGTAATCTTATCCAACTCTATCAGGTAGCCCCTCAACCTTCTCTGCCCCAAAGAAAACAACCCAACTTTATCCAGTATCCCTTCATAACTGAAATGCTCCCTCCCAGGCAATATCCTGATGAATCTCCTCTGCACTCCCTCTGGTGCAATCACATTCTATAGTGCATTGACCAGAACTGCACACAGTGCTCCAGCTGTGGCCTAACCAAAGTTCTGTACAGTTCCAATATAATCACCACACTCCTTTCATCTATGCTTCGACTGATATAGGCAAACGTTCCATTTGTCTTTTTAACTACCCTATTAATTTGTCCTGCCATCTTCAGAATCTGTGGACAAGCACCCCAAGATCCTTCTGTTCCTCTGAATGGCAATACTATGAAGCTCATTGAGTACTCCCTTGTCTTACGACTTCTTCCAACGTGCATCACCTCACACTTATCAGGGTTAATTTCCATCTGCCTATATGACCAATCTGTTTATATCCACACTGTCAACCTAGCACCTTCCTGTTCACAGCCAATCTTATGTGTTGTCCACAAACTTATTGTCATCCCCATATTCTCATCTACATCGATTACGAATATTACCAATGATAAGGGACCCAGCACTGATCCCTGTGGTACACCATTGCACACCAGGCTCCAGTCATAGAAACAACTTTCTACTACCACCCTCTGTATCTTGTCACTAAGCCAGTTTTGTATCCATTTTGCCAAGTTACCCTTGATCCCATGAGCTTTTACCTTCTTTCTCAATTTCCGCATGGGACCTTGTCAAAGGCCTTACTGAAATCCATACAAACTTCTTCAATTGCCCTACTCTCATCAAACACTCGGTCACCTCCTTGAAAAATGCCATCAGATTTGTTAGGCATGACTTCTCTCTCTGACAAAGCAATGCTCACTATCCCTGATCAAACCTTGCCTCGTTAAATGGGCGTTAATTTTCTTCTTCACCATTTTCTTCAATAGTATCCCTACCATTGTTACCCTCCTTGGTCTGTAATTCCCTGATCTATGTCTCATCACCCTTGTAAAGTAGAACTACATTAGCTGTCCTGTCGTCCTCTGGCACATCCCCTGTTCTAGAGACCACTTAAAAATTTGGATCAGAGGCCCTGTAATTTTCTGCCTTTGTCTCCTACAACAGTTTGGGATACAACTCATCCAGATCAGGGAACTTTTAAACCTACCAAAGCCTCCAATACCTCCTCACTTCTTATCCAAGCTGCCTAAGAACTTCACAGTCCATCTTTACAAATTCTTTACTTGCGTCGTCCTTCTAAAGACAGGTGTGAAGTATTCATTTAACATTCTACCAATGTCCTCCAGCTTCACACACAGATTGCGCCCTCGGTCCCCAGTAGAATATCTTGAGCTTCACTCTGATCTTTCCTGCAAGCATTTTATCATGCCCCCTGTTTGCACTCCTAATAGGTTTCTTGAGTTTCCCCCTGTGCTTCCTATACACCAGGGCCTCCTTTGATTTGCTCCCTTTGTACCTTTTACACATCTCTCTTCCTTTTTATCCAATCCTGAATATTCCTAGACATCATTGTTCTCTGGGTGTTTTGCTCCTACATTTCATCCTAAGGGAATATGTTGGGCCTTTCCTTTCCCATGACAATCTTAAAATGTATGCTGTTATGACCACTATCACTAAAATGCTCCCCCACTCTCATCTTGAACACTTGTCTGAATTCATCCCCCAGAATTAGGTCCAGCACTGTGCTATTCCTTGTAAGACCATCTATATGTTGATTTTAAAAAAAATGCTCTCTTGCACATTTCAAAACAAAATTGTCGCCCAACATCCCCCCTCCCCCACCAAAAGCCTTTGTTCTCTGATTAATATTGGGGTAATTGAAATCCCCTAATATGATTAATCTATTATAATATTTTTACTCGCCTTCATGAATTGACTCTGTATTTGTTCCTCAGTTGCCCACTGGCTGTTTGTTTGGGTGACTATAATACACCGCTAACTGTGACTGCCCCTTTTCATTCCTAAATTCTACCCACAAATCCTCATTTGATAACCCTATCAAGATATCATCCCCTTACTGCAGTAATTGACTCCCTAACTAACAATGTGACAGTAACTCCATCTCACGTGTCCTGCCTGAAGATCGTGTACCTGAGAATGTTAAATTGCCAGTCTTGACCCTCCATTAACCACTGTCTCTGATGGCAATAACGTTGCGGTTCCAAGTGTCAATCCATGCAGTGAACTCAATTGTTTCACCCACAATACTCTTGGCATTAAAGGAGAGGCCATCTAGCCTTGCTGTGGAGATAGTAGGAACTGCCGATGCTGGAGAATCTGAGATAACAAGCTGTAGAGCTGGATGAACACAGCAGGCCAAGCAGCATCAGAGGAGCAGGAAAGCTTACATTTCGGGTCTAGACTCTTCTTCAGAAATGGGAGGGGAGGGGGATTCTGAAATAAATGGGGATAGAGGGGGAGGTGGATAGAAGATGGATAAAGGAGAAGATAGGTGGAGAGGAGACAGACAGGTCAAAGAGGCGGGGTTGGAGCCAGTAAAGGTGAGTGTAGATGGGGGTTAGGGAGGGGATAGGTCAGTCCAGGGAGGACGGACAGGTCAAGGAGGCGGGATGAGGCTAGTAGGTAGGAGATGGGGCTGGGGCTTGAGGTGGGAGGAATGGTTAGGTGGGAGGAAGGACAGGATAGGGAGGTGGGGATGAGCTGGGCTGGTTTTGGGATGCAGTCGGGGAGGGGAGATTTTGAAGCTTGTGAAGTCCACATTGATACCATTGGGCTGCAGGGTTCTCAAGCTAAATATGAGGTGCTGTTCCTGCAACCTTTGGGTGCTACTTTTTTGATGGGCTCTTCGAGAAAAGTAGATGCCTGCTTTAGTTGACATCTAGACAATCAACAGTGCTCATAGTATGAATACCAGGCTCAAGTAACTTGGTTAATTTTATTGTTGCAAAGCAGGCCTGGTGCTGTGAATTGGCTCAGTCCTTTCACCAAACTTGGTCCAGGGCACCCCTAGCCTTTCCATCACAGTACGACGCTGCAAATTTGAGATACTTTGCTGACTCAGAATTCCGTTTAAAGTATATTGGTGATCATGTGATTTGAATTTGCTTTTTTTATCTTTTAGTTTGGAGTTCGTTTGGAATCTTCTCGTTCAGACACCAGCAATATCCGTCGGTGCTTAGCTCATGCTCTGTTTCTGAATGCTGCAGAACTGCAGCTGGATGGGACGTATGCAACCCTGGACACCCGGCAGCCTGTGGCTATCCATCCCTCCTCTGTCCTCTTCCACTGCAAACCTTCCTATGTTTTGTACAATGAATTATTGCACACATCGAAGTGCTACATACGGGACTTGTGTGTGGTGGATCCTGAATGGCTTTATGAGGCAGCCCCAGAATATTTTGGTAGAAAGTTGAAAGGAGTAAAAAGTTAATGCATCTGAGATAGCGACTGCTCAAAGTATATCTGTTGTAGACAGGTACATCATTGGTTTTCAGAAGACAAACAACCACAAGATTTTGCACTAAAATATCTGTTTTTTTAAATAACTTTTATATTACTTGTAAAGTAGTTCATATGTGAATTAACAAAGTATAATGCATTATTGGCCTTTTCTGATACAGCATCAGTAGAAGAAATGGATTGACCAACAATATTAACTCTTATTTTCTACTATCAAATGTTTTTGTTGTCAGTTAGTCAATGGTGGAGTCATGAAATTGTGTTTTAACATTGTTTTTACACACCAACTAGAAGGAATTTAATGAGTCATTGCTTTTTATCATTTCCTTAAACTGAGAGATCTCAGGGAAATTCAGAAGTGCATGAGGATCTGTCCGTGCAGCATGATTGGTGCATTCATGTGTCTGCGCAATGCAGTTGGGGGCATGCATGTTTTGTAGTTTAGCCAACTTTGTGTTCATACCTTTGTAATGGCTTTTATTTAATTGTAATACATTAGATTCAGCCCCAGGATCTCATGCTGAAACTGAATATGAAATTCCAAGTGTTATGATCACATTTCCTTTGAGGATTCTTTAGCTATGTATTTAAAAAAAAAAGTCACTTGCTTGCAATTCATTAATTTTTGTCCTTAAGCCATTTCTTTTTCAGACCAAGCTGACACTTGTTCTTCTTTATTCAAGTGAGCCTAAATTTTGTTGACCATTCTTTTCATGTGGAGTTTTGTCAATTAGATTATTCAAATATGAGCTGCCCTTTACAAATATCTGCTTTATACCCTTTACAATTAACTCAAACCTCTTGAGACCGCAGGCTAAACATTCTGGGGACATGGGTTCAAATTCCAGCAGAGTAGATGTTGAAATTAGAATTCAGTAAAGACCTGGGAATAAAAGGATAGTTTAATGCTGACCACGTAACTACTGCTGATTGTAATAACAACCCACCTGGTTCATTAATGTCCTTTTGGGAAAGAAATTTGCTGTCCATATCTGGTCTGACTTACATGTGACTCCAGACCCATAACAGTGTCATTGACCCTTGATTGTTATCTGAGCAAATAGGGATGGGCAATAAATGCTAACCTAATCAGTGACACCTACAGTTCCTTAGTGAACAAAAAAAGTGCCTCTTTTATCACTTGATTATTATTTCTGAAGCCTACCCACCATGTATAATAAACTGACTAGCTTGTAATTTTGAGCAGTGATCCTCTTCTCAATCTTCCAAAACCTTCTATTGATGGAATAAAGTGTAAGATTATCGCATGCCTTTTCCAAAATCTTCATTCTCCCTCAACTTATTGTATGTGACATAGTTCCCACTTGAATTCACCTGACATGCCTTTTTCACTGTTTTTGTTTCAACATAGTCTCCGCCTCCTCGTCACTTGAGTCCTGACTTTGGCTCCTTTATCTATTCCACTTTGTTCCACTATCAGGTTGCTCCCCACTCTTTTCCATTGCTAATCTAATCAGTGATCATTCTGACTCAAGTGCTCCCTGTGAACACATGGTCCACTTGGCATACCTCATTCCCCAGCACCAGATCCATCAATGCTTCCTTTCTAGTTTGGATTAGAACACACTGACCAAGGAAGTTCTCCTGGGATGTGGCATCTCTGGAGTGCAGAATGTGGTGGTGGAAACCCAAGTGCTTTTTTTAAAAATAGTCTCACAGAGTACAAGTTTAATTGCTAGTTTCTAGTCCATTAATCTTTCTGGAGAGATTTGTAGGGTCTTTATGTTTATAATAAAGAAATTTACTAACTAAATTATAATTGGTCTGTCTAAACTGAAACATCATTGCAAATACTCAAGGTTTAACTTAGTTTTTTGTTTTACTGCAGTTGTTCTCCAACAGACATTTTTCTTCTGGTATTGTTCCAAAGAGCACCACTTCATGAATGAATGTATGATCTGTATGGAAAATTGCAGTCAAACTCCATCCTGTTCTTGGGTAACATCCATGTGCCAATGGGAGTCAGTGTTCAGGTCATTGAGAATTAGGCAAGGAGGATGAATTTTAACTGGGCTCTTTTTCTAGTCAACAGAGTTATTTATAACTGTGATTTTTTTTTTTTGACCTTGCTGTCTCCTGTTGGAAGAATATTCTTCTTAGGTCTGTGGCTCATCTGCTCTTGCTATGGGGCACCCATTCATCTGCAGGGCTATGTTCTCCACAAACAAGCAGAATATGTTCAGAATGTGTGTTTTTTGAGTTAACTGTGAGCTTCAGGAGCCTTATAGTTCTCTGCTGCTTTCACAGTGGCAACGGCCTTGGCCAATCAATCAGCACCTTTTTACTTCTGTAGTATCCATTGGTTTGACAGGTTGAAATTTAACATTCTTCCATTTGTCCTGTTGGATACAAAACCAGAACTTCAAATATGCCTCACTCAGTGTTTTTCTTTCAAAAACATTCTCAGTCTTCAAGGGTTGGTGCTCGCAATATGTTTGAATAGTTAATGTTCCAAAATGCCTATTGGAGCTCACTTGGCCGTCAGTTGTGAGTTGCCTCTTGATTTCTTGTCCATTAACATTGCCAGATCAAAATTCTTGATTCGTTACTTGGATGTTTTGTTTGGAGTACTCCAGTTTTTCAGATCTGTTATTGGCTGAGATCTGCATCTTCCTAATGATGTACTGCACCTTCCTAATGATGTACTGCACTATCAATTCTGCCATTCCCACCCCAGTCAAAAGCTTTTTGATCAGGTTTGTAAAACTAGATCTCTCTTTTCAGGGTCACATATTCACAACGTCACCCTCTGCTAGCTGGCCTCAGGTTTCTAACAAGTGCAAGGATCTGAAGGAACACAGCAGGTTACGCAGCATTGGAGGATTCCTGATGATGGGTCCTGACCCAAAACGTAAACCTTCCTGACCAGCTGTGTTCCTCCAGTTCACACTGTATTGACTCTGACTCCAGCATCTGTAGTTCTTGCTATCTGCAAGGATCTGAAGTTCAGATGAGAGTTTAGGCTACCTTGGCAAGAACGTTGTCAAATACTTTGCTGAAGTCTATACAGGCAATGCATACTGCTCCATATTCATGAATCTTCTGAGTCACCTCTTCAAAAAAACTCAATCAATTTATGGGACATGATTTCCCATGCACAAAGTTATGTTTACTATCCCTAAACAGTCTTTCCCTTTCCAAATGCAAGTAAATCCTGTCCCTCAGAATCCCCTCCAACAGCTTACCTGCTACATCAGCTGACCTCCAGTTTTTTGACATCTTAACCATGGCTATCGATGATACAAATTTCTAAGCAATGGGCTCAGAATCACTTTCCTTGCTTCCCACAAAGTTCTGGAAAACACCTGATCAGGTGCGGGGGATTTATCTACCTTTTATGCATTTACGACCTCCAGCACCTCTTCTGTCATATGAAACCTTCTTGAGACATCACTTTGTATTTCTCCAAGTTCCCTTGCTTCCATGCCCTTCTTCACAGTAAATACTGATGCAAAATATTCTGAGTATCTCACACATCTCCTACGGTTTTACACATAGACAGCCATGTTGATCTTTAAAGGGCCTTATTCTCTCCCTAGTTACCCTTTAGCCCTTAATGTACTTATAGAATCACTTCAGATTCTCCTTAACTCTTATTTGCCAGAGCTACCTCATGTCCTCTTTTTGCCCCAGCTGTCTATACCTGAAATATGCCTCCTTTTTCTTGACCAGAACCTCAATTTCTCCAGCTATCCAGCATTCCCTACACCTACCAGTCTGAACTCCCATTATCATTCTTAAAGGCCTCCCACTTTCTAACTGTTCCTTTACCTGCAAATAGCCTCCCTGAATCAACTTTTGAAAGTTCCTGTCTAAAACCATCAAAATAGGCCTTACTCCAATTTAGAACTTTAACTTTTTGATCAGTTCTATCCTTTTCCATAACCATTTTAAAACTAATAGAATTACAATCATTTGCCCCAAAGTGCTCCCCCACAGACAGGTCAGTTACTTGTCCTGCCTTAATTCCCAACAGATGTTCAAGTATTGCTCCTTCTCAAGTAGGTACATTCACATATTGAATAAGAAAGTTTTCTTTTACAAACTCAACTCCCCTTAACACTACGATAGTCTAGTCTATGTTTGGAAAGTTAAAATCCCCTACCGTTACAACCCTATTATTATAGATATCTGACATTTCCTTAAACATTAGATTCTCAATTTCCAGCTAACTATTGGAGGGTTTATAATACAATCCCAACAAGGTGATCATCCCTTTCTTATTTCTCAGTTCCACCCATTTACCTTCATTGGATGATCTCCCAGGAATATCCTCCCTAAGAATAGATGTAATGTTATCCCTATCCAAAAATGCCACTCCCCCTCCTGTCTTTCCTTCCTTTCTATCTTGCCAATAGCATCTATACCCTGGAACATTAAGCTGTCAGTCCTGCCCATCCCTGAGCAATGATTCTGTAATAGCTATGATATCCTTGTCCCATGTTCCCAACCTGAATTAATCTACCTTACCTTTCAGGCCTCTTGCATTGAAGTAAATGTAGTTTAATGCATCAGTCTTACCTTGTTCTCTGCCAAGCTCTTGTCTGCCTTGACAGTTAGACTTGCTACACTTATCTACTGTACCAGCCTTTGTGTTTTCTCATTATTACTTTGGTTTTCCCCCCACCCCCAAATTGGCACAGGGACAATAAGATTGAAGAGGTAGACATATGGCTCAAAGATATGGGAGAAACAGGTTCAAATTCATGAGACATTGGCATCAGTACTGGGAAAAGAGGGAACTATTCCAATGGGACATGTTCCACCTGAAGCATTACTGGGACCAGAGTCACAGACATACAACACGGAACAGACTGTTCAGTCCAAACTGTCCATGCCAACCAGGTTTCCCAAACTTAACTAGTCCCAGTTACCTGCGTTTTGCCCAAATCCATCTAAACCTTTCTTATTCATGTACCTATCCAAAAGTCTTTTAAATGTTGTAACTGTACCTGAATCTACCATGTCCTCTAGCAGTTTATTCCATATGCACATCACCCTCTATGTGAAAAGTTTGTCCCTCATGTCTCTTTTAAATCTGTCTTCTCTCACCTTAAATCTATGCCCCTCTAGTTTTGAACCCCCTACCTTAGGAAAAAGACCTCTGCAATTCACTTTATCCATATTCCTCATAAGTTTATAAACCTCCATAAGGTTACCCCTCAACCTCCGACTCTCCAGGGAAAAAAGTTCCAGCCTATCTAGCTTTGCCTTATAACTCATACCTTCCAGTACTGGGAATGTCCTTGTATGTATTTTTTGAACCCTTTCCAATTTAATAATACCTTCCTATAGAAGGGTAACCAGAACTGTATCCAGTACTTTGAAAGCAGTCTCACTAATGTTTTATACAGCCGTAACATGACATCGCAACTCCTGCACTCAGTACTCTGACCGATGAAGGTAAGTGTGCGAAACGCCTTCTTCACCACCCCGTATACAAGTGACACTACTTTCAAGGAACTTGCACCCTGAGGTGACTCTGTTTGACAACACTCCCCAAGGCCCTACCATTAACTGTGTAAGTCCTGCTCTTGTTTGTCTTACCAAAATGCAACATCTCACATTTATCAGAATTAAACTTGGTCTGCCACTTTTCTGCTCGCTTTTTTTAAAATAGTGGCACAACATTAGCCAACTGCCAGTTTTCTGGCATCTCACCCGTGGCTATTGATGATACAAATATCTCTGCTCAGGGACCCACAATTTCTTCCCTAGTTTCCCACAATGACAAATTTGATCAGGACCTGGTGATTTATCTACCTGTATGCATTTTAAGACCTCTAGCACAACCTCTTCTGCAATGTTGACTGTTTTCAAGATATCACTATATAGAACAGAGAACTATACAGCACAGGAACAGACCCTTCAGCCCACAATGATGTGCTAAACATGAAGCCATGTTAAACTAATCCATTCTGCCTGCTCTTGGTCCATATGCATATTCATGTGCTTATCTAAAAGTACCTTAAATGGTCCTATTGTATTTGCCTCCACCACCACCCCTAGCAGCACATTCTAGACTCCTATCACTCTCTGTGTAAAAGAACTTGCCTCTTGTATTTCATTTGAACTTGTGACCTCTCACCTTAAATCATGCCTCCTAGTATTAGACATTTCAACTCTGGGAACAAGATTCTGATCGCATCTCATAATTTTATAGACTTCTTTCAAGTCTCCCCTCAGTCGTTGCCATTTCAGAGAAAACAGCCCAAGTTTTTCTAACCTCTCATTGTAGCTCATACTCTGTAATCCAAACAGCATCCTGGTAACCTCTTCTGCATCCTTTCCAAAGCCTCCATATCCTTCCTGTAATGTGGCAACCGGAATTAAACGTAATACTCCAAGTGTGGCCTAACCAAAGTCTTATAAAGCTGCAACATGACATGATCTTGTACTCAATTCGCTGACCAATAAAGGCAAGCATGTCAACACCTTCTTTACTACTGTATCTACTTGCATGACCACTTTCAGGGAGCTCTGGACTTGAACCCCAAGATACTTCTGTACATCAATGCCATTCAGGGTTCTGCCATTAACTGCATACTTTTTCCTTAACATTTGATCTCCCAAAGTGTAGCACCTCACACTTACCCGGATTAAACTCCATCTGCAATTTCTCTGCCCATATCTGCAACTGATCTATATCCTGCTGTATCCTTTGACAACCTTCTACACTATGCACCGATCTTTGTATTGTCTGCAAACTTACCCACACACCTGCATTTTCATCCAAGTCATTTGTATATATCACAAACA